GTCCAAATTTTCACAGTGGCTTTAGTGCCTCAGGAGTGTTGAGTGTGGAGTCTGTATTATGACTGAAAGGTCTCAGCAGGGTTTGTCTTAGTCTATTGGGGCTGTTTTCACAAAATACCTCAGACTAGGTAATTATAAACAATATAGATTCTCTGTTCACAGCACTAGGAATCTGTGAAGTCCAAGATGTCTCTAGAGATTCATTGTTGAATAAGTTTTTTTTTGTTTGTTTGTTTTAGTTTTGTCTCCCTAACAAATACTAAAAAACAATTTAATGGAGGAAAGATTTATTTTGGCTTACAGTTGTAGAGTTTTAGTCTATGGCTGGCTGTCTCCATTGCTTTTAGGCACATGACGAGGCAGAAACATCATGGAGGAAGGGTATGGTGGAGGCAAATAATTTAACTCTTGACAGTCAGGCGGCACAGAGGAAGGGACAGTGGACAAGACAGTTTTCAAAGGCATGCCCCCAGGGACCAACTTTCTTCCACAAGGTTCCACTTTGTATTGTTTCTACCACCATCCAAAATAGCACCTCCAATTGGGGACCAAACCTCAAGATACAAACTTTTAGGGGACATTTGATATGTAAGTTGTGACAGTTGAGTATTTGCTGTTAAGGTTCAGATAGCCCCGCCCCCTCACCAACAGGGGCTCAGGGACTTTACATGTCCCTGAGAAAAGGGAACTGAGCTGATAACCACCCTGGTCTTTGAAGTCAAGAGAAGCAAACTTTTCTCCACTGTTTGGCTAACACAGGAGGCCTCTCCTTTGATCTCTAAAGAGGACAGGTTTTAACAGTCCTGCTCTCCCACTCCCCCCCACCCCCCAGCCCAACTAAAAAAAAAATACATCTTCCTGCCTTCTGCAAGAAGCAGAAGGCCCCTCCCACCCCCTCCCCACCTTAAAAAAGCTCATGACCTGGGACAGACATTTTCCTTGCCTAGAAGGGAATCTGTCCCATGTGTTCCTTTACTAATAAACTCTATTCCAATGGAGTTGTATCTGTGTCCTGGTGCTTTCTCCTGATCAACCAGATTAATCCATAGGCTACTTTATCTATCATTTGCTATCTGCTTTAAAGAAAGTGCTTTATTGCTGTAGACTCTAATAGCAAAGGGACAAGGATGGGCACGAATCCATGGGCCAGGTAGGTAGCTCAATGGTAGAGACCTTGCCTGGCATTCATGAAGCCTAAAGGGTGTTCCATCTCCAGCTAACGGGTACAATATTTATATTAATACTATCACATTAAGTTCTAGTGTACAAATTTGAGGGGGGGCAGCTCACAGCAGAATTTTTCAAGGACTGAGGACTAGGAAGCATAGAATATGTCTTCCTGATATCAGAAAAAAGTAATGGGGAGATATGGGAGGAGTTGGAGGGGAGGGAGTAGACATGGATTTGATCAAAACATGTGGCAAGATACTCCCTCAAGCTAGGTATGGTGGCTCATGCCTATATTCTCTGCACTTGGAAGGCTGAGGCACTTGGGAAGATTGTAAATTCAAGACCAGACTGGATACACAGTGAGTATTAGTCTAGCTAAGGCTATAAAGTGAGACCCTTTCTCAAAAAACAAAACCAGAAGGTTTCAGAAGGTTAGAGTCTATAATGGTGGGGGAAGCCTGCCGCTGGAGCAGGAGGCAGGAAGCTCATATCTTCAACAGCAAACTTGAAGCAGAGAGCAAACTGAAAGGAGGGTGAATCTATTAGCTCTCAAAGTCTGCTTTCAGTGATATACTTCCCCCAGCAAGACTAAACCTCCTAAAGATTCTATGACCTCCCCATACAGCACCACAAACTGAGGAGAAAGTATTCAAATACTTGAGCGTATGGGGACAGTTCTTATTCAAACCACTATACCTCGTGTCAGTTACCTTTCTTGTCACTGAGACAAATACCAACAAAAACAACTTAAGGAAGGATTTATTATGACTCATGGTTTGAGTCCTTTATAGCAGCAGAAGCATGAGGCAGCTAGTCATATTTTTTTTGTCACCAGGCAGAAAGCAGAGAATGAATACTGATGCTCTGCTCACTTTCTCCTTTTTATTCAGTCTGAGATTCCCAACCAATGGAATGATGCTGTCCATATTCATAGTGCACGTTTCCACCTTAAACATCCCACAGACATGTCCAGAGATTTGTCATCTAGATGATCCTATCAGATTGACAATGAATATTAACTATAACACCCCTGAAGACGCTGAGCAGCACCAGCTCCCAGTTAGCCATGTAATTAGGAGGAAAACAACAAATATTCTACAGTGTATGTGTTGATAAGCTATTGGTAGGGTAAATACATCAAATGCATTTTAAATTTTATTTTTGTTTTTTTGAGACAGAGTCTTGCTGTGTAATTCAGATTGTTTGGGGTCCGAAGAATTCCCTTAATTGACCACTCAGACACAGAGACTCAGGAAAACTTAGCTGCTTTATTGAGACCAACCGGCTGGTGATGCAGGCAGGCTCGGGAGCTGCACTACGACCCAGAGCTGTGGAAACACAGGGCTTTTAAGCACAAAAACTGTAGAGCAGGGGATTTCTATAGAAACCATAAACAGAAGAACCAGGAAAGGATTTGAACAATGTAGGGCTGATTTCCAGAGCCTTAACCTATACAGCCATTGGCTAACTTACCTGGGGCAGAACATTCTTCCTCTCCTGCCCCAGACCATTTCCATAGAAACCATAAACAGATGTACCAGGTAAGGGTTTGAACAATCTAGGGGATTTCCAGAGTCAGGAAGAGGGCAGCTCCTTCTCAGAGGACAGGGAGGGGGGGTCTATCCTTCAAGATTGCCCTCAAACTTGTAATTCTAATGCCTTAGATTCATGAATACTGGGATTACAGGCATAAGCCATCACACTCACTTGAACTGCATTCCTACTATGGATTTGACTTACATGGTAAGTCAAGGACTGTAATGGTCAGTGGCAAGGTAGAATTATTCCGGAGCCCAGCACCTCCCACTGGTCTTCTGGGTATGCCAGTGGAAAGTAACCTGTTCTCCATTCCTTTCCTATCCATAACCAAGGAATATTTTATCACTTCTCATGAACTGGCATTACCTATGCAATTACTACATGGGGGCTTGTTCTCCCTCCCAAAGCCACCTACCAAGGTTTGCTCAGTGGGTTATTTCCCACTGTAGTAAACATAATTAAGAAGGTAAATTGAAGCTGGATGTGGTGGTACACACCTTTAATCCCAGCACTCAGGAGGCAGAGGCTGGCAGATCTCTGTTCAAGACCAACCTGGTCTACATAGCGAGCTCCAGGCCAGCTGGGGCTATAGGGAGGCCTTGTCTCAAAAAGAAAAAAAAGAAAAAAGAAAAAAGAGAAGGTAAATTGAAAGCTGGAACCTCACATAATATACCAAAAAGGGAAAGGAACTCAGAGGTATGTTGAGTTGATTGTTAGCTCTTGGTAAAGACCTGTCATTTGAGGACACTGCTTATTTGGAGTATCTTTTTCTCCAGTCATGAATGGCCAGGAATAACTGGTAACCATTTTACTAGTGAGGTTTAACATGTCTGACAATACAATAATAGCAAGAAAACATGACTTTAGAGTTATCCAATTGTTCTAGTTTGGTTTCTGTTGCTGTGATAAAACACTGACCAAAAGGAACTTGAGGGAGGAAAATGTTTATTTGGCTTTTGGTTATAGTCCATCATTAAGGGAAACCAAGGCAAGAACCTGGAGGCAGGAACTAAAAAAGAAACCATGGAGGAATGGTGCTTACTGGCTTGTTTTGTTTGACCTGCTCAGCCACCCCTCTGATAGGTAGATCAGGTCTACTTGCCTAGAGATGACACCACCCACCATGGCCTGGACCCTCCTACATACATCAAACAATGAAGCAAATGCCTCCATAGACATGCCCAGAGGCCAGTCTGATGGAGGAAATTCCTGAATTGAGGGTTCTGCCTCCCAGGTGTTTCTAATTTGTGTCAAGTTGACAAAACTAACCAGTACACCAATCTAGTTTGAATCCCTACTTCTACCACTTTCTAACTCCATGACCTTGTGTAAATACTGTCTTCTTTGAGCCTCAGCCTCCCTATTTATAAAAGGGACAGAAATTTTATAAAATAATGAGTGTGTGTGTAGCATCTGGTAAATATAAGACATTCAGTGTTATAGAAGAATTAGAACTGCAGGTAACCTATTATCTTTAATTGTATGTCTGTGTGGTGGTATACTACATGTGTGCAGGTCCCCAAGGAGGCCAGAAGAGGGTGTTAGATCCCTTGGAGCTGGAGTAACAGGTAGTTGTGAGCCACCCAACATGGGTGCTAGGACCGAACTCAGGTTCTGTGAAGAACAGCCAAGTGCTCATAACTGCTACTGAACCATCTCTTCAGCCCAGCTGTATTTATTTTTAAAATAATTGGTTTAAAATTTTTTACCCAATACACAATTCTATAAAGCGAGTGATATTTTGCATGAACTTTCCAAAGGACTATTTACTGTTTGAGCTTGTTTCAGTTTGTGTCAGTTTGTGACAAACTGAGTCATAAACACTGTGATTTATTTTTGTGGTCCCCCCCCCCCCCCCCCGCCCACTCATGTTTCTTTCTGAAGATCCTTCCGTTAGAAAGAAATTAGAATCTTGGGAAATTAAACAAGAAACTCTGAAGTTCTAGGTGGTAAGCAAGACTCAGCCCCTAGATATCTCTTCTTTTTTTTTTTGGTCTTTTTGAGATAGGGTCTCCCTGTAGCCCCAGCTGTCCTGGATTCACTATGGAGACCAGGCTGGCCTTGAACTCACAGAGATCCGCCTGCCTCTATCTCCTCAGTGCTAGGATTAAAGGCATGCGCTACCCCTCCTGGCCTAGATACCTCTTTTAAATGCTTAGTTCTTTTAAATACATTTTTAAATGCACTAGGGGGCGGGGCTTAACAGACGCTGAGGGAGGCGGGGCTTACAGCGGTCCGGGGCGTGTTGCACCGGAGGCTATTCTGGCAGGCTACCATTGGACGAGATTGTGAGTGACGTAATAGCCATGCGCTTGCAGGTTCTGACAGCCGCTACCGTGGCGTTTGCGCAGGAGGAGCTGGTTGCCGCTGCAGCCGCCTGGAATTGTGGGGGTTGTGTCTGCCCCTCGGCTGCCGTTCGGAAAGCCGAAGGTAGGGGCGGTGAAGGGGCGCCGGAGCGGGGCGCAGGGCGGACGGTGCTGACCTGGCCTCTTGCCGCCTGCGGTCTCCTCTCGGCGGCGGTCTTGGCGCCTTCCCAACAGTGTTCTGGGGTCCCATCACATCCACGGTAGTGTCGCCAGTGCGAGACGTCCCTAGTGGGCGTTAGGCTGTCAGCCCAAGAGCTGTGCTATCATTTTCCATTTAAAACGACCCAAACGACTTCAACTCCAGGAGAGGGCCAGTGGCTTTGGCTGCGCATCTGTTTGTTTCCTCCTTTATCTCTCTTTTCTTTCTCAGTTTCCCCACATCTGTTCAAAGAAGGGGTGAATTATTTGTTGCCCTCCGAGACACCTCTAGAGTTGATATTTTGGTTCTTGGTTGGGACCTCTAAGTCTCCCATGCGAAATTGTGCCCTGCTCCCTTAGTATTTCCCTTCATCCTTTGCGTTCTTTCTTTTACTCTGGCAGATGGAAAAACTTAACTCAGAGGTTATAAGATTATGGACTCCTTGCGATTTCAAATTACCTGGGGAATTTGTGCATAGTCTAATCTACGCCCAGGAACTTCGGATAAACTGGGGGTGTGTGTGTGGGTCTGTTGTCCATCCAGGTGACCTGAGAATCCTCGTTTTGATGGGAAAGGACTGGAATCCTGAAATGTCCAACAGCCGAGAAACCAGTAACCCCCTTTTGCACTGTAGGAGCTAAATGACTGTTAAGATGCCTTTAAAAATATGTTAATGAGCTGGGCCTGGCGTGGGGTGACCCACGCCTTTAATCCCAGCACTCGGGAGGCAGAGGAAGGCGGATCTCTGGGGCTACAGGGAGATCGTGTGAGGGCTGGAGATGTACGAAACCCTGGGTTCAAGCCCCAGCACCATGTAACCAGATGTGCTAGTGCACACGTGTAACAACACTTGGGTGCATGCAGGAGACCAGAGGTTTCAGTATCATACTTGGTTGGTTACACAGAGAATTTTAGGTCAACCTTGGCTACATGAGACCCTCTGTGTGTTCTTATTTGCTATCTTGAGACAGGGTCTCACTATGTAGCCCGGCTTCTATATATCTGTTCTCTCTATGATCCATATGTAAGATCAGTTTTCTAATATGTATTTAAAATGTCTGGCTTCTATTCAATCCCAGCTGGCTCTCCCACCTCTAAAAAACAAAACTGCAAAGTGCTTTGAAGAATGATTAGATTAACTCACACTAGGTAGGCAGGAGGAAAATGAATCCTCCGTATTTGCTAAACAAAGAAACTGATGTTTTATAAATACAGTGTTTGTTTTGAGAGTGTGAAAGATGTTTTTTGTGTGTCTTTTTAGTTCTCACTCAAAAATTGTCTTTTTTTTTCTTTTCTGATAAAAGTATAGACAGACTTAGGGATTCTATACAATGTTAATGGGAACCAGAACATAATATTAGGATTGATGTTTGTGTCCCATGGGTCAGAATTTGGTCAGTAGTTTCCAGTTGGGAACATGGCTCTTGGATGTTTAAGGTGGTGCTGCCACCCACACCAGATTTATCTTAACCTTTATTCCAGGTAGTAAATTTAATCTGCTTTTTATTACATGTGCTGTTTTTGTGAAACTGGCAAGTGGGACTGGAGAATATGTTAGTAGGCATTCGACAGCCCTGAATAAAAATTATCTGGTACTTTGATATTTTCCTCCCATTTCCTGTTTTCTGAAAGCCTCTCTGCTGAGGCCCACTTTGAGCCCTGGTGTGTCTCATGTCAGGGAAGAAGGCTAATTAAGTAGAGCTGAAAAATAACAAAATGGGTTTCAAAACGGCAAACACATCAGAACCTAAATCTCTACTATTTATCTCCTCTCAGTGTTGTGTGTAGGTGTGGGCTGTGGTGGCTGTGCTGTGCTTTAATCTATGTGATATCGTTACTATCCAAAGCAGTTTTGAAAATCCACATCCATAATTGTTTTCAGAGATCAGTCCCATGAATACATGACACCATACTTTTTTTTTTTTTTTTTTTTGGTCTTTTTGAGACAGGGGCTTCCTGTTATCCTGGCTGTCCTGGAACTCGTGATGTAGACCAGGCTGGCCTTGATCTCACAGAGATCCGTCTGCCCCCTGAATGCTGGGATCAAATGTGTGTGCCACCAGACCTGGCAACACTGTACTTTAAAAACAAAAAAACACAAACCTCTAAATGGCACATGATTAAGCAACCTTATCACTGACTTGTTTTCAGATAAATGAACAGTTTTGTTTTATTGTGTGAGATACTATCTTGTGTGTGGCCTAAAGTGGTCTCAGACTTGCTATGTAGTCCACATTGGCCACAAACTGGTGGTCCTCCTGCCTCATTGACCCTAGGGCTGTTATTACAGGTATACTTCACACCTGGCTAACTGAACAGTTATTTTGAAGTGGACATAATGGATTTTTAGAGTGTGGTAAACATAAATTCTAGTTCTACTTATTGGCTATACGACCTTGGGCAAGTTACTTCACCTCTTAGGCTCAGTTTTCCACTACTTAAAATGGGACTGCTACTTCAAAGGATGATTAAATGAGGCAATATACAGGAAAACTCTTGGGACATAGGAATGTAATAAATGTTTTCACCATGAAATGAAAATAAAATATTTTTTTTAACTTGCTTTCTTTTCAATACTGGGGATCAAACACCAGGGCCTTGTGCATGTCAGACACGTATTCTACAATTGAGCTACGTATACTGTAGTTGGAAGATTTGCTCTTAATAAGAAACTTTAGAAGAACATGACAGTCTTTAAAGGGAAGGTATATTCTTTTCCCAAGTAGGTGGATGCTTTCCAATTCTTTTTCATGTCTGTAGATTTCTATTTTGACTTTATCCTGCCTGCTGCCTTCGTTCACTTTCTGTCCTATGTGAAGCTGTGTCATGGAGGCTATCTATTAGTCCCCTGGAGTAAGCCTCTTTTTAGGAGAGCTAATGTGAACACTCTTATAATGCTTACTCCTTGGTTGGATATCCTGGGGATTTTTCTCTGAGGCCCTATCTGGTGTTAGATCATGCTTTGTAACAGAGGTATCTCTCACTTCTAGATTTGGTGTCAATTTGGAGACCTATCCTTGGAGCTAATCTTTTTCCTTTCTGAGTGAGAATGAATACTTTATCCTTCTCTGAATCTGCCTTAAGCTGCAAGCTTTAGTCTTTTGCAGTAGAGTGCTTCATATTTTAATTATATATAGTGTGAAGAGGGAATATCCTGCCTTTGGTTTTTTTTTCATTTACTTTCACCAAGGATTTGGGGGTGGGCAGGGGTATGAGACTAGCCTGTTGTTATTCAGATGCAGCTTTGGGTAACTTCTAGTTCCTTTTATAAACAGTAACTGTTTCTCTTTAGGACAAAAACTTTATCAAAGATTTAAGTTACTTAGACACATGGAGACCCACATAGACTGTTTCTGACTTGTGAGGAGTTTACACTTGACATCCTCACTTGTGCAATTTTCCACCCTGGAAAATCCAGTAACAGGGGCACCGTGATCAACCCAGACTTGTAGTTCCTTCAGAGTCCATCAAGTAGCTCGTTCTAGTTTAATTTCTGTTGCTGTGATACAATACCTTGACAAAAGCAACTTCAAGGGGGAAGGGTTTATTTTAGCTCACAGTTCCAGGTCACAGTCCATCATTCTATAGAAGTCAGTATAGGAATTTTACATTCACAGTTAAGAGAGAAATGAATAAATGTACCCGTGCTTATTTGCTCACCTCACTTTTGTCACTCATACAGTTCTTGACCCAGCCTGTGAAATGGTGCTGCCCACATTCAGGGTGAGTTTCTCTACATCAGTTAACTCAATTAAGAACATTCTTCCTGGGGCTGGAGAGATGGCTTAGTGGTTAAGAGCACATACTGCTCTTGCAGAGGACCTGTGTTTAGTTCCCAGTACCCATACCCAGTGGCTCAGAACTGCCTGTAACTCCAGCTCCAGGGGGATCTAATGCATCTGGCCTCTGAGGTACCTGCTTTTGCATGCATACCACACACACACCACATAATTAAAAATATTAATCTTTTTAAAAATATTCTTTTATGTGTATGACTGTATTGTGTACATGTGTGTAAAAATATTATTTTATGTTTGAATGTATTGCCTGCATGTGTACAAGTGCACTCATGTTGTGTAATGTCCTCAGATGTCAGAAGAGGGTGTTGTAGTCCCTTGGAACTGAAGTTACTGATGGTTGTTAGCTGCCATGTGGGTGGTGGGAACTGAACCTGGGTCCTCTGCAAGAGTAGCCAGTGCTCTTAACCACTGAGCCATCTCTCCAGCCCCTAAAAATAAATCTTAAAAAGAAAGAAAATCCCTCCCAAGCATACCCACAGGCCAACCTGATCTAGGCAATCCCTCATTGAGACTTTCTTCTGATTCTAGATTGTGGCAAGTTGACAACTGAAACTAACCATTACACACATAGCTCATAGACAAGAGTATGGCTGTGCTGGTTGCCCAGTAGTTTTTCCTTCAGCCTAATCTTGTCCTTGGCCTTGGTATCAAGAAGGAAGTAGCATTTTCATTGCATGAAAAATGTCCTGTGGCAAGGCCTTAAAGGTGAGGCACAGAGAGCTCTGATCATAGGGCTGGGCAACTGGAAAATCTGTCTTATCCTAGGAATGCTGCCAAGTGCTGTGTATCCTTCATGTTTCTTGGTGTCACTCAGTTGTGAAATGGAAATGCCTTCATTGATCTCCTCCCTAAGAAATATGAACAGTCATTTCAGTTTTTTCAGTATAGAGGGACTTTTTAGATGTGAGGCTTTCAGAGACCAAATGGAGACAGTTGATCATCCTACCAATGACTGTTACCGAAATTAAAGAACATGCTGTCCACATGCAGCAAGCAACTCTTTTGGGGCCATCTAATCAAGTGTTTCTCAACCTTTCGTTTATCATATTTTCAGAACTCCTCCCCACTTGTCCATCTTGCATAAAATTTATAATTTTAAAATATCGTGTGCATTACCACAACATA